CGGCCCCCTAAAAAAAGGCCTACAGATAACACCGCCTTAGTGACCTGGTCAAAAGAGGCCCAGATGCTGGGCCAAGCAACCAGCACTGTCTTTGGCATCTTCATAAAGAAGACAAACAATTCTTCACCATTCTGTCGGTGCTTCTGCCTAGCAGGCGCTATCCTAAGTGCTTGCAGGCACTAACAATAAGTCCTTATAGCAATCCTAAGAGGCGGGTGCTGTGATGATTGACATTTTACGGACAGGGAAACTGAGAAGCAGAGAGTTAAGTAACCTGACCAAAGTCACCAGCTAGTAAGCAGCTGACCCAGGGCTCAGACTCTGGCAGGTTGTGTCACTAACCATTGTGTTGCCCTGCCTGCCCAGGAACATAAGGTGATCGCTGATAATTCAGTGAGAAATGCCAATAAGCATGAAGCATGATGTGAAGTGACAAGGAAATGTGGAGCTGCCATTGAACATATATATATATATATGTATTTTTTTTTTTTAACTTAATTCTCGTGGTTTAGTTTGTTGACAGAATTGCAAGGACTCCTCTCCCACTTGTCTCTGTCAGAAATGTGCCCACGGCTCCTGACTCATCAGTGTTACTGTCCACAGAGGCCCAGCTGATTCTCCTTTTCCAATTTTTTGCCCCCAAATGAGGGTCCTTTGCCCCCACCAGGCCTGGGGTCTCCTCCTGCCTTCACCAGGCAAATCCCTGCCAGAGCTCTGAAGAGTCATCCCACAGTTTACTTCTCTGTGACCTATGAATAGCAGGGGCTTCAAGTGGGCCAGGGGCTGATAGCCCTCCTGTGACCTAGGCCAGGCTGTCTTCCAGAGCCCCGGGCACTGCTCATCCTAGGCAAGCAGGAGGGGGTGGGGGCAGCAGGAAAGGGTGGGTGCAGGCTGTGTCCCTTCACAGATGTTGAATGGAAAGTTTCACAGGAGGAGGGGAAGCTGACTTTTTGCCGGGGAGGGGAGCAGGAGGGAGTGGGGAATCTAACCCAGGGGTGCTTTACTACTGAGTTATACATCCCAGGGCATTTTTTTATTTGGAGACAGGGTCTCACTGAGTCGCAGAGGCTGGCCTCAACTTGCAAGTCTCCTGCCTCCCAGCCAAGTTGCTGGGATTACAAGCCTGGGTCAGGGTGCCCCGACAAAGGAAGCTGACTCTTTTGCCCACCTGAAAGTGGCTCATCTCTTAATTCTGTGGATTTGGACTTTAAAGGACAGGAATATCCCACCCCTGTTCCCACCCGGGTTGGGATTCCACCTGGTAACTGTATTCCTACCCAGGATTGGCTGTCTAGTCTTGATTCTGAAAAGGCGGGAACCCCAAGAGGACTTAGCTCCTGTTGCACCTGTGCAATGAGCCACCCTGCAGAGGGGCTTCTCTGCCCCCACCTAGGTGAGCCACGCCCCCAGTGGAATAAAAAAAAGTCCCGTATGCTCATTGAAGATGCAGTCACCACTGGAAAGAGTGCATGGTATCCGATTTTGTACTGCTAATGAGGGTTCTTACTTTTTTGTCATTTACATGATTTTATAATCTGAATTGCTAACATCTGGTATTCCATTCAAAAAGTAATCTAGGATAGAAAACCGCATATTAAAAAATACCTTATTTGGTTCATACGTGAATAGGTACACTCATCCCTCGATATCCATTGGGGGATTGTTTCAGGATCCCCAAAGATATCAAAACCTGTGGATGCTTAAGTCCCTTCAGAAAATGTCATAGCACTTACATATAATCTACACACATCCTCCGGCACACTTTAAATATCCTCTAGACTACTTTTAATACTAAACACAATGTAAATGCTAAGTGAAGAGTTGTTATACTGTATCACTTACAGAATAATATCAAGAAAAAAAACCTATATATGTTCAGTCCAGATACATTTTTTGAAAAGTATTTTGGATCCACAGTGGAATCCACAGGTTTGGAGGGCCAAATGTATACATTTTCGGTTGCCGTGAAGTTATTCTTCTCACCCCCATAAAGTGAGTGTTAAATGAGCATTTTTAAAAATACCTATTTGAGCTGAGCACCGTGGCACATACCTGTAATCCCAGCCACTTGGGAGGCTGAGGCAGGAGGACCTCTTCCAAGTTCAAAGCCAGCCTCAGCAACTCAGTAAGATCCTGCCTCCAAATAAAATACAAATTAGGGCTGGTTGAGTGGTTGAGTGTCCATGGGTTCAATCCCTGGTACCCTGCCCCCCCCAAAAAATAGCTATTTGAAAGGAAGCCATGCATTTTCCAGCAAGCACTGCTCACCTATCCCCCATCCTTGCCAACCACTAATCTACTTTCTGTCTCTACAGATTTGCCTACACTGGGCATTTCACATAGATGGAACTGTACAAGATACAGTCTCTGATGATTGGCTTCCTTCATTTAGCACAATGTTTTGGAATCATCCAGGAGGTAGTGTGTTGCCGCAGTCTGGCTGCAGCAAAATAACCGGGGGGGGGGGGGGGGGGGAGCAGGAACTTGGTTTATTTTGGAGCGGCGGGGGGGGGCCGGGTTTTGTGAGGGGGGGGGGGGGTATTTATACATTCCACACAGCTTATCTAATTAACATAAACTTGATACAGCAGTCAACCAACAAGGAATCTCCACACTTAATGGCTCACTGGCATTACTTCACAAACCACTCCCTCTGGCAAAATGCCAGGCGCCATCCAGACTTGTTTACAGACTCTAACAGTATGTATCAGTACTTCATTGCTTTTTCAAGGATGAATACTACTCCACTGTTTGGATCCCTATTTTACTCATCTACTCAGCAAGGATTGAAAAGAGCTACTTGTTTAGAGGGAGTTTGTTGCTTTCCTGTCTGATTCATGATTGAAAGGAGCATCTCTGAAAACACCCCAACAGTGAACTTGCCCTTATCCACCCTCCCCTCCTGTGCTTCCTCGCCACCTGGCAGAATCTGATATCTCAGTACACTCCAGGCAACTCCTTCAGGTTGACTCTTGGGCTGATCTGAGAGGCGAATGTTTAGACAGCAGTTTCTGGAGTCCAGGAATGGTCACTGTCAAGAGTGTGAAAGGGCAAGAATGCAAAATGTTGCCCTCTGGACCCACCCAAAGCCACCCTCGATAAACACAGTCTGTGAAAAGTGAGTCCTGTGTCAGCAAGCTGAACTCCAGCCCTGGAGCCTCGGTGGAGGTGACCTTTCCCTCTGGCTCTGGGAGGGTCCTGGGCCTCCTTGGATCTCATCTCTGGACACAGCCTCCTCCAGCCTGGAGGCTCAGATCCCTCACCCAGGGATGGCCACGTAGGAGAAACGGCCATCCATCCGTGCTCTCCTGCTGGCTCAGTCGCTGGGGTCCTGTGGCCGGCACCGTCCCTGCTCACACTGACTGAACAGGTGGAGGAGGCTTCAGTTCCCCCAAATCTTCTCGGAGCATCTTAGGTTCTCAGCAGACCCCAGGGCAGATTCTCCATTGTGGCTTCTGCCCTCCTCTGTGTGACTCGCATTAACCCAGACGGATAAAAACACAGGTGGGGGATGGGCCGTGAGCATGGAGCCGCCTCAGGAGGCAGCTCTGCCCAGCCATAAAACGTCCTGGGGACACAGAGATGGAGGTGGCAGGTAGTCCTCACCTCCCTCCACTCTGCCCTCATGCCGGAGAAGCTGTGAGAGGAGATGTCCTAAAAGATGACATCAGCTTCAAGAAAGAGCAGCTGCAATGAGACAGAACTCCAAGCGGCACTTGGTATTTTTCTGTGGTCCTTAGGGCCGCAGATTTCTTGCCACAGCTGAAAACACTGTCCCTCTAAACCTCCAGCTGAGTCTAGATGTCTGGGATACTTATGGTCCCCATCTGCTCTGAGGAGGTGGACTCTCTCCTCCCCTATCAGCTCTTCTTGCTGTTCCTACTATTGTCACTAGATGGCGCCAAATACCACCAGTTGAGGATGAAAGAGTTGGAGCCAAATACGAGGGACGGGTGCATCCTGGAGCCAAATAGGAGATGCGGATGATGCATCTTGAACCTGATCTTATTCTAGAATTCATTTGTCTTGGGGACATATTATTCTTATAAGTAGATTATTTTTAGAAACTATGTTTATGAACATCATTTCTAAATATAAATACTCACAAATATGTTTTTCTGAGCCTCCCCATCTGCTCCTATCTGCCCTTTGTCTTTACCAACAGCAGCAGGAAACTGGGACACAGTCCATGATACATTCATCAAGTTTCTTTTTTTTTTAAATATTTATTTATTTATTTATTTTTTAGTTTTCGGCAGGCACAACATCTTTGTTTGTATGTGGTGCTGAGGATCGAACCCGGGCCGCACGCATGCCAGGCGAGCGCGCTACCGCTTGAGCCACATCCCCAGCCCCATCAAGTTTCTAATATAAAAAAAAATTGAGAATAAGTCCAATTAGATGAAACAGGTGGCTCAGCCCGTGGATGGGTCTGCCACTGCCTGCTCTCAGGAGGGGCTGAAGAGGGGCAGCCTGGGCAGGGTGTTAGGGGGCTCCTGAGAAACAGAGTGGGATATGATAGACTTTTTGTATTTTATGGGTTTGTTTGTTGTTTGGGGGTTTTTTGTTTGTTTGGGGTTTTTTTTTACGTGTTTATATTTTATGTTTTACTAGGACAGGTGCTAATGTGGAGATGAAGAGTGGGACCAGCAACCTGAATGTAGGGGAAGCTCCCATCCTGGGGTTCAGAAATGAGGCCAACTCCAGATTCTTCCTTGTCCCAGGCACAAGGTCACCTGGTGGGGTCAAGTGGTCAACAAAAGCAAAGGGACCAAATTTCAAAAATGAGAGTTGCAATCGGACCCTGCTAAGCTGCCTCCTCAGTAGAGTCTCCCACCTAAGCCCTCCTTGCCCAAGCCCTCCAAGCTGCCTGTCACCCCCTCATCGAAGAGACCCCCAAAATCCCGTGCTCCAAAACATTGCCCCTCCCCCACCACAACTTGGGCCCACACAGATCTACACCCCGTCAGAAACAGGAACACCACAGCCACACACCCTGGTTTGGTTCCTTCTTTTATTGGAAGCCAGAGGGCCCTGCTCCTCCATAACGAGGCAGGGGAGGACCTGCCTCACGGTTGCAGATTTGCTCACAGGGACTGATCCTTGGAAAAGGGCTGTGTAAGGAAACTCCCTAATCCCCTTCTAAATTGTCCACATCAAATGAGATCAGGCCCCACCATTTTCATTGTAATGGTGAAGCTCTGGGGGCTGGAGCTCTCTGGTAACTGGTGAAGTGTTAGGAAGGCCTTTAGGGACTTTGCAGGCCCAAGGTCACAAGACTAGAGTTATGAGGAAGTTGGCTTGCCTGACTAACCTGGCGTCCCACACCCTACTCCAGGTGACTACCTTGTGCCTTCTGGGAAGAGCTGGCCTTGGGCCTGTGGTCTAAAAATCAGGAGTTACTCCACCAGAAGAGAAGGAACCATGCTCAGGTTGGCCCTTCCAGACCTCACATGATAGGGCGGAGGGCCAAGGGCAATGCGCCCAGGGGCCTGTGCTGGGGAATGTCAGGGAGGAGGACAATGTCTTCTCCACAGCTCACAGCCTCTCAGGAAGGTTGAACAGGGGAGAGAAGTTGGCTGGCCACCTCTCAGGGCCAGCAACCACAGGCTGACCCAACTGTGCCATAGTGAAGGTCGCTGGTCCATGTGCCCTCTGGTATACCAGACGGGAAAGATCCAGATGGGCAGTATAGGACTGAGGGATTGCGGAGAGCAGGCTGCACGGTAGAAATAACAATCCAGAAGAGGTGACCCCAGGCTGGACTTGGGAGGAAGCCTGGTGGGTGTCTGAGCCTGGACAAGCTCCTAAAAATTGATGTTCTTCAAGTCTGTGGAGCAGCGGTATCTTCCATCCAGGAACCTGGAGCACAGCAGGTTGGGTGAGCAGGGACAGGTGTGGTGCTGGCGTTTCCGGAAGAAGGGGACCTGGGGAGAGCAGAGAGGGACACCTTCACCCACAGGGGTGGCCTCCAGCCAGAGCCTCTGGGGGCCCAGCCCTGTCGAATGCCTCACTCCACCTCCCACACAGCCTTGCCCAGCAATACTAGAGGTTATAGCTGAGGAACCGAGGTACAGGGTGATCTAGCAGCATGCGAGGACCTCGGCTCACCTACGGAGGAGCTAGACGTGTACCCAGACGTGTACCCAGGTCTTCAGACACAGCACCCACGCCCAGCTCTGTTGACTAGACACCTACTGTGTTAGGTTATGTGCTCAACTCTGGTGGGTGCCTGGGGGCAGCCGTGTGGGACGCACAGTCTCTGCACTCTGACTCGCTGCCCAGAGGGCCACCAGACCACCAAGGAATCCTTGAGGGGGGGCTGATTAGGAACCACGAGCACAGGTTCAGTGTCAGACACCAGGTTTTAGTTAACCTTGCTGCACATCCACTCTGCTATCTGTAAAATGGGCTAATAGCACCTACAATGTGGCTGGAAGAGGTTTAAAGTATATATTTACAAAAAGCTTCGTCTGCAGAGTGGCTTGTAGGAGGCCCTCCGTGTTAGTTTTATTATCACTCAGGTCCCCGCTGGGAATATGGATCTGCACTGAAGCCCCACACACTCCAAGGCAAAGGGGGCCGCCGAGCTGCACAGCCTCCCCACCACCTCCTCATGGTGTGGGGAAAAGGCCAAGATTGAGAGGGACACTACTGGAGGAGTCTCACCCCCGACGGGGCACCGAATCTTGTAAGATGCCTGAATCTGGATGTCAGGCCCCACCCCGCATAGCCCCCTAACCCCGCCCCCCAGTTTTGTCTGCACCCGTTGACCATGCAGAAGCAAAGGCCCTGTGGGCTCCTCTACACCCTGTGGCTGGGAGCTGGCTGCCAGGGGATGGAAGCAGAGCCCTCACTAGATGCTTAGGGCACAAAAGAGTGACAGCCTTCTTGAAATGTGTGTTCCAAGTACCTGCTGGCCTGGCTTCAGAACCGTTGTGTAGAGGAGCCATCATTTTGGGGGTCTTATTTCATGGTTGCTTTGTTGTTTGTTTGTTTTGTTTTGTTTTGTTGGTACCAGGGATTTAACCCAGGGGTGCTTTACCACTGAGCCGCATCCCCAGCCCTTTTTGTTCTTTATTCTTGAGACAGGGTCTTACTAAATCACTTGGGGCTTCACTAAGTTGCCTTGGGCTTGTGATCCTCCTGCCTTAGCACTGAGATCCCGGGGAGGCACCACCACCCCCAGCTGATTTCACGTTCTTGAAGGCAGGGTCTCTGAGGGAGGTTTCCAAGGGAGCAAAGGGCATTTGAGACCCTTTCAAAATCCAGATTTCTCAGATGGATAAGAGACTGCAGGGGGGAATCAGTGGGCTCCCTTTAATGTATACATGAGGCAAAAAGCAGTCATGCTAGTTACCCAAGATCACACAGCAAGTAAAGAACTGGAAATGGCCATAACCCCCTCTCCAGGCCTAACAGTCTGCATGACCAGTACGACTGAAGCCAGATTTAAAGTTAGGTAGTCAGTGTAGTTAGGGAAATCGGGTCTAAGATCGAGTAAGATCTAAAATGGAGGCCATGTTGAGAATGAAGGGGGGGGGGGGGGGCGGAGCAGAACTCTTGGAATGTTAATGAAGTCCGAGAAAAACCCAAGGCCGGAGCCCATCCCAAAGAAATGTTAATGAAACAGCTTCCTGCAAAATTGAAGATGCTGACCCAAAAGTCCTTCCTGCCCAGATTACTTCTTTGGCCCACCTGTGCCCCACCCTTCGGGCCTTCCCACCTACATTCCATCACTGAAAGATAACAGAACAGGGGACAGGAATGGGGGGGGCAGATGAAGACCCTAGGTATAAAAAGGGGAGACAACCGCACTTCCATGGATTCCATCTCTTGGGTCCCCTTCTTCCTCCGGGAGAAGTCTTTTCTGCTGTCCTTTAATAAAGCCTCTATTTTCCACCCTGACCTTGCCTCGGCGTGCTTCTCTGGTGTTATACTTCAACATTGGGGAAGCAAGGACTCTGGCTGTCCCCGCAAAGGAGGCAGTCCCAACATCAATGACATGTAGCTAGAGTTGATGTCAGAAAACTGCAGTTCCAGTCCCAGCTGCCTCGGTGACTATGCATTGAGCAAGTCACGTGACCTTGCTGGATCTGTTTCCTCACCATGGCCCAGGGCTGCTATAAAATCAAATTGTCTTAGTGGTTCTCCAGCCTGTCTAGAAGATCATAGCTCAGGATGTCAGGCCCTGTGAGATGCACAAACATCGTCTGTGGGACACTGAGTAAGGTGGGTGTTTGTGGGGGTGGGCAGCAGACAGCCCTCTGTGACTGCCCGCTTCCCCTCTGGCATTCAGGGGCCTGCTCAGCTGTGGAGGAAGCAGAACTGTACTCAGAAGCTCCAGCCCTGGTGATCTTGGCTAGAGCCAGGCCCCAGGACCTCCCGTCCTGTGCAGCTCAGGGCTCACCTGAACACACAAACCAAATGTGTGTTGCGTGGTCACCTACCTTGTGGCTGCTGGGGTGGCACGTTTCTCCTTCCTGTCCCAGTGGGGTACATATCCGCAGCCCCCGCAGCCACAGGCTGATGGCACAGCAGGTGCGTGCTCCACATTGGAGATCCCACTCACAGGCCTGCAGAGACAGAGAGGGCAGCACTACTACCTGTGAGAAGCCAGGTTGCAGCCCAGCAGTCCTCTGGGGGGTTGTGTGTCACCTGGCCCCATCACAACAGCATGCCTTGGACTGGGGTTATTGCCCCTGCTCCCTTCATGGGCAGGATGCTTCGTGTCCATCAGGATCTGGGTTTGAGGGACTGTCCCAGCTCCTTGGAGATCTCTCAGTGGGGAGGCAGACCTCTTTGTCTGAAAAGTCCAGTGGGTCAGGAGGGATAACCCTTCTAGAGCCAGTAGATGCTCAGCAGATGCTGGTAGGATTGAGTGATTTAGAATTCTCAAAGCTGGGAGGGTCCCTGATGGCCCAAGCCCCTGAGTGGTCAGTGCTAAGCTGCTTTCAGCCAAGAATCTCCAGCCCAAATTCAGCACCCTTACTTGATGCCTGTTCCACATGTTGGTACCCCTCGCCATAGAGGCCGATTGAACTGGTATCTCTCCCTAGTGCTTCTCTACTGGCCCCTGGGATCCCCCCAGTAGAGATGGACTGCCGCAGTCTGGCTGGGCACAATCAGGAGCCACTTGTCAAAAGAAACTAACTTTATTTTTAGAACCACACACGCCAAACAAAACAGCCTCTCAGGAAAAACCCTCAGAGCCTCAACTGCCACCACCAGCTTTCCACAAGCCTCTCTCTCCCACACAAGCTTCTCTCCACCTCCCACAATCCTCCTGCTCTTGAGGCCGATTGGCTGGGTCACATGGGCGGAGCCAAAAAAGTCCCCCAATGAGCAGCTCCGTGGTCTGAAAGGGCAGGGAAACAGCCCAATGAGCATCACCGCAGAGGAGCCAATCAGCTAGATGTTGCTGGGGCCGCTGTGAGCCAATCATCAGCCGGCAGCTGGAAGTTTGCTGGGGCCCCTTCGGCTGTGGCTCTCAACAATGGATCCCACAGGGCTCGGCTCCCAGAATAGGCTGTATGTCCCTGCCTGGTTTCCAGAAGGTGACATTTGTAAAGAAGGCCACAAAACCCACTTTACCCATAAGCTAGGATCAGGAAACCAAAAGTGCTCCACACTCAGGTAGAGATCAGAACTGGCCACTTTACAGAAGCTGAGTGCTTTCGATGAACTGAAATTTGAAGCTGTGTCTTGATTTGCTCTTTTCCAGTGGAGGCTGGGGAGGGCTCAGGCTGCACGTGGGGACTGCATCCAGAACTGGAAGTTCCCCACTTTCTCAGCCCCGGGAGGAAAAGAGGTTGCCAACTCCCTCCACCCAGAGGAGGCACGGGTAGCGGTCACCTGGCTGCCAGTCTCCAGCCCAGCAAGGGCACCCCTCATACCTAGCCATGCTCTGAAAGCTGAGAGTCGGAGGAAGGAGACCCCCACCTGGCTCTTATCTTTCAGGGATCCGCATTGCTGTCCCACTCTGGTAGTGGGACCAGACAGCCTTGAACTTGGGGACATTTGCCATCCAGGTAACAGAGGAATGTGGAGAGGGCAGAACTTGGCCTCTTCCTGGAAGTTACCTGTGGACATCAGCAGGACTCCGAGAATGGAGGTCGACTGGGTCTACTGTCTAACTATTCACATTGCTGTCATGCATTTCCCGTGGGCCAGATGTCATCAGTCCATCCTGACCGCAGGACTGCTGGGCCTTCCGGCTTCTCCCTTCCACCCACCCCCACCAAGCTTCAGTGCTTTATGCTAGTTCCGTGCCTGTTTTGGATCTCCAAAGCGATAGCTTACCCTTCATATATGTGCCTCTTTTGAACTAACCAGTCTTTTTCCTTTAGAAAGGAGAATGGAATTATCCTTTCTACCAACACGAAAACAAACCCAATTCCAGCCATTGTTTGACATTACTCCACAAAAACGGTGGAGGTGGTTGAAATAAAAGTTCATTTCCCCTTTTCTTCTCATGACTTTGACAGGAAAGGTTTGAGTGCAGTGTTACTTTCTTTTAGTAAGAATACTCCCGCTGCCCAACACCACCGGCATCCATGCCAGAGTGGGGCAAAGTAAGAGCCAGCCTTCCGAGGGGACATCACCCTCACAGAGTCGTGAGCACTGACGTGTGCAGCACCCGTGGGCTGAGCCTGTGCTGTCAGTCTGCATTTCTAGAAGCCAGTTAAACTGGTATCTCTCCCTAGTGCTTCTCTACTGGCCTCTGTTTGGAGCATTTTTTAGCCAAATGTTGGTGTCGCCAGTATTCCTCTCAGAACTAACTGGGCACAGAGCGAAAGTATTTCAAAACATTCTTTCTTTCTGAGTGGAGGCAGTAGGGGTGATACTGATGTAATTGCAGCCAATGAGCTATTACTGCCCTTAATTAAACTAACATACTGCTACGTCAAAACTGACATGTGGACCAGACTGTATATGAAAACCAAAACTTACACAAAAGGTAAATTAAGGGATGAATTCCACTTTATAAAAGAATTCCCAATGACACAACAGGAATCTTCATTTTTCCCAAAGACTAAAACTTCAAAAATTCTCAATTGTCTCCGAATGCATTTAAAACAAGATCTTCTTTAAACACAGCTTCTTAAAAGCCAACTCTGTTTATCAGAGTGAGGTCCAACTGATCTGAAAATCACAAACAATCCCTCTCTGGGGTCCCTTTGGTTTGTGGTGTGTTGGATGGCGGAGCCACCTGTGTGGTTCCCGGGCTTACATCCCCTGCAGACCCTAGCACTGTCCTGGAACCCAGGCAGAGAGAACGCTAGAGACTTACCCCAGTGATCACCGCACAGTCGGACACAGTTACTAGGAGGAGCATGATTGAGACTTTCATGGCACCTGTCATGGCCACCTGGAGTGAAGGCAAAACACGGTCTTCTCCAACGCCTCCTGCTTCCCCGGCTCAGCCTCGTGCCCAGCAAACTGGGAAGCCCAGGCTCTCCTGCCCCACCCTCCTCCTAGATTTATATGGTCGGGTCCAGGGCTGCCTGTGGATGCCTCATCTCTGTTCTTGCCTTCCCTATTCCCGGCGTTATTCAGATGATCTCAGAGGCGAAGATGAGAGCTGAATCCCTAACAACATCAAATCATCACAAAAACTAATAAAAATGGATACGTCGAGGGCTTTGACAGTCGCTCTAACTCTTCCAGGAATGCAGAGCTTCAGAAAGCTATGTGCCATTGCTCTTGATATTCTTTTCTGCCTCTGGGTGTCCTTCTATGCTGCTTGGGGCAGAGAGAGGCTTTGGTAATGAATTAAGGGATTTGCAACATCACCATTTATCCTTTCCTGCCCCAAACCGTGAAACACGGAGTGTTATTGATTCCCTCCCACTCAGCCCAACAAGAATTATCTGGGCATTTACCAGGGGATCAACACGGAGGTAGCTAAAAAAGTTACAAGTGGGGAAGGTGCTGTCCCTGGTCCTCGAAAGGTGAAAATTCCAATAAAGAGACATTAGACAGTGAGAAAACAAGTCCAGATTTGTGGGGTTGCACTCCCAGGTGGGACACCTAACTGTCTGCTTTCTACTGGGCTCAGGATGAACACCAGCAAACACCCTGGTGCAGGAGCCAAAGGCAGATAATCAGCAACCCCACAGGTCCCATGCTCTCAGCATCCTGCAGAGAAGCAAACTCGGGCTGAACTTTAGCTCAAAGGTATGACGAACTACAATGCTGTCCTTCCTGCTGCATGGGGTGAGCATGACAGTGGCCTTCTCTGTGGGCAAACAAACACAGTGGGCACAGATGCCAGCCTAATAAAAAGGTGACTCTGGGCATAGCCCTTCTTGCTGGAGGGAATGGCCCTAGTTCCAGCCCTCACTATTCCAGACAACCCAGAGAAAGTTCCCTGATCCTTTCCCAGACGATTCAGTTCATCTAGATAACAATAAAAGCTGATATTGTTTCCAGATATATTTTGCCATATGTTAATACAGGCTGACCACCTCTATTCCAAAAATCTGACATCTTAAATGCTCCAAAATGCAAACCTTTTTGACCCAATGCCAAATGTGGAAAATTTCATACCACGAAACCGTGACATGCACAACATTACTTAAAATGTCATATAAAATCACCTTCAGCCTACATGTATAAGGTATATATGAAACATAAAATGAGTTTTGTGTCTAGACTTGGGGCCCATCTCCAAAGTACCTCATAATGTATATGCAAATATTCTACAATGTGAAAAATGCAAAACCTGAAACACTCTGGTACCATAAATTTCAGATAACAGATATTCCACCTGTAGATGTTATCTAAACAAATAAATAAAGATTGCTATAGTCAAAGACTTGGGAAACACTGGGTTATGCAAACTGTACTGGCATTTTTCTGCATACTTTTCAGGACCTTTCACATGTGTTTGTATAGAAAGCAGCAAGTGGAAAAGACATCTTATAGTTTTTCCCAAACAGATTCATCCACAAAGCCCTTTATGTTTTCCTGGAGTGTCTCATGAAAATAGGGTCCCTACACATAAATGTTGACAGGCATTGATGAATGCAGAGAGAAAGAGCCCAGTGGTTCTGGGCCAAGTGGCTTGGAAGACAGACCCCCACCAGCAGACACCTTGACTTCTAACCAACTGCTCACTGGCTTCATGGCCTTGAGAATATTGCCAACCCTCTGAGCCCTTATTTCCTGAATACCTCTGCTTCTCAGACCTCCCTCCCCAGCCCTTCCCCACAATACACAAAACTAATTTTGTGTATTCACAATTGCAGTGAAGAAGTTGTAGCAAGAAGCCTGGTGTGCTGGTGCACTCCTGTAATCCCAGGAATTTGGGAGGCTGAAGCAAGGAAGATCGTGAGTTCAAAGCCAGCCTCAGTAACTTTGCAAGGCCCTAAGCAACTCAGCAATACCCTGACTTTAAATAAAAATACAAAAAAGGCTGGGGATGTGGCTCAGTGGTTAAGAGTCCCTGGATTCAATCTCTGATACCAAGGAAAGAAGGAGGAGAAGGGGAAAAAGAAGAAGTTGTAGTAAGAAGCACTGTTGCCAAATAAAACAATAACATGGATTGACAACTTTTTCTTTCTCTTGAATGCCATTGCTTGAGAAAAGCCAGTAGGGTGAGGGAGAGCTGGTGACCTGGTGGAAATCCCAGAAGAGACTCTGGGGAGCTTTCCAGAGAAGAGGCACTGGTTCTTCATGCAGTAGCTCAACCAAGTGTTCATCGAGAGACTTCCACACTTCCAGACCTGGAGCCCGTGGGTACTGGGTCTAATTTCTCTCTACAGCTTAGAGGTCTCCTGTTCCTGTGTGCAGGTGGGTTCAACAGTCCACTTGATAGGATCTGGGTTACTTTTTGATGGAAATAGTGCAGGAAAGGAGGCTGGGGGCCTAAGCAGTCAGGAGCCCAAGGAGGCAAAGGCAGGAAGTCAGTGGTGAAGTGAATTGAGAAGGGGAGAGAGCGGGGACAATGGTGAGAAGTGCTAAAAATGTATTTGGTGCCCTTATGAAAGTAGGAAGAGAGTGGAGATGTGTCAGAAAACCTCTCCCAGATTCCTACACAACTGCAGAGAGAATGCAGGCAGGTGGACAGCAGACAAACCTGTGGTTGAGTGTTTGTGTGAAAAAGCTATGTGGGGGTCTACTTCTTATACTTTGGGCTAGGCCCCAGTTCCTCCATTTTCAGTTAATGCCAGTGTTGCCATTTTCCAGGGTAGTGTGTGTGTGTGTGTGTAGCAAGGGCTACTCTCATAGGGCCCTGGTCCACACCCAAGTCAGCCCTGAGCCCTGATGGAGTCCCCTGAGAGTCTCTTGAGGTCATTGTTCTGTGAACTACAAAGGAAGTCCCTGTCCAGGGGCCTGGCTGCTCCAGCCGCAGTGTGAGGTATCTTGTGTTGATGGTTAATCACGTGTGTTAACATGTGCTCCCTCTTTTTTTTTTTTGGTACTGAGATTGAACCCAGTGGTGCTCAACCCCTGAGCCACATCCCCAGCCCTATTTTATATTTTATTTAGAGACAAGGTCTCGCTGAGTTGCTAAGTGCCTCGCTAAGTTGCTGAGGCTGGCTTTGAACTCGCAATCCTCCTGCCTCAGCCTCCCAAGCCGCTGGGATTATAGGTGTGCATCATAGTGCTGGGCAAAATGTCTTTATTATTGGTTTCTTGCTAACTATTACATGAGAGTTTGCTGTGACTCATTTCAGAAAATATGAAAAATAATAATAATAGAACAAAAGAAACCCAAGCATTCAGACCAGGGGTTCTTTACTGGGGCCTCAGTAAACTCCCCCAACAAGTTCATGGATTCAGAAGATCCATGAACTTGGGTGGAGAGGAAAATGGAACGCTTATTATCCCCAACTCCTAACTGAATTTTAATGTTTTCTTTTATTTTAACTGTAGGCTAGAAGTCGCAGAATGATTAGCAGTAACTGACTTCCTCACCAAGAAAAATGCAGGTGTTAGTATCATGTTGCTATTGCTGCAAATAGCTCCAAATATCATTTCAGCTCATCACTACACTGAAATCATAATTAGAGAGCTCTTAGACTGGGTTACTTGCTGCATTAACAAAGAAGCGTAAATATTACCATATTGCAAATATGCTTTATAAAAATATATAGGTGCTTTACCACTGAGCTGCATCCCCAGCCCTTTTGTTGTTGTTTATTTTGAGACAGGGTCTTGCTGAGTTGTCCGGGCTGACCTTGAACTTGCCATCCTCCTGAGTTGCTGAGATTACAGGTGTGCACCACCATACCTGGCTTTAATATATAGTTTTATAACTGTATTTCAATATAATTTATTTCCTTTATAATCTTACTTACTTTTACACATTTAAAACATTATTCTGGACCAGGTGCCCAGAAAGGGCACCTTCTCAAAGACCCCACCTCTTAACATTATCATATTGGGGATTTTGAGGGAACAAAAACATTCAGACCATCGCAGGGGGCTATATCCACATGGAGGCACCAAGAAGAAATTGGCTTCTAACTTGGGTCCACGTAGACTCCATCTCAGGTCCTAGAGTTTCCCTAACCACAACTTGTTCCCCTGTACTAGCTCATTGTCAGAGCTGTTTGGATTTCAAACTTGATTCCTCACCCAAAGTTACTTTGATCCCATCTGTCTAACTGGGTTTTAAGTGATCGAAAGACTTTTTATTCTACAACTAGAAGATGCAATTAAAGAGAAGACACCATCACAGTGGTATCAGAGAGTATCAGGTATCGACAAATAAACAACCTGACAACCTGCACCGTCACCCCTGGTTACTCCCATCTGGTGCACACCACAGTCTGGGACCACCACAGCTCCTCTGCTGAGCTGCCATTGTGGCTGGCTTCTCTCCTTTAGCTTGAGTCTCCTCCTATTCTTCCCTCCTCAGTCAGTTTCTAGTAGTCTGCACTTGCTCTTCTCCTGCTCACCCCATGCCAGCCTATCTGGTGCTCCCATGATACCAGGAGAAGTGCTTTGTCTAAGTCACTCTGGGCATGAGTGGGGTCGGGGTGCTACTATGGACTGGACCCGGGGGGCACTTTACCACTGAGCCACATCCTCAGTCCTTTATATTTTTTTATTTTGAGATAGGGTTTTGCTAAATCGCTGAGGCTGGCCTCAAACTTTTGACCCTTTCTACCTCAGACTCCCAAGTAGCTGGGATTACAGGCCTTCACCACCACACCCTGAACCCCTGGCCTTCTAAATGCCAAAAGCAAAGTACCATCTTCAGTTCTCCTCTCAGTTGCCCTTTGTGGCTTTCAGCACTGGTCACTACTCTTTCCTTAAACTTCTCCTGCTTTTCACATCATTTTCTCTAGGTCTACCCATTTTCTCAGTCTCCTCCAAAGTCTCCTTTGCTTCTTTCCACCCCATAAAAGG